CTCCATTGTGCAACAGTGTGGGACTCTGTAAACATTTTGTTTACCTTATGATAAAATACATTAAGTACATTAGAATATAAATACGTTAAGAATGTGATTATTTGCCTACATCTGAGTCTCTACCGCAGCCTAGTTTTTAGAATAGAGTCACGGTTTCTGACTGCCTCTCCCTCACCTTCTTCTCCAGCAACAACAGCACATATCATCGGCATATTTAGAGGAATCCCATTTTCCAGAGAGATTTACAAAGCTATTTTTGGACTCTATCAAACCAGAGGCGTGTGGCAGAATATTGTCACTCTGCTGTGGCTGTGATGAGAAAAGACGTCTTTCCTTTGATGCTGTTGCTGTGCTCCAGGGCGGATTTCTCAGCACTTTGTAGTTTCATTTTGAAAGCAGGCATGTCTGTTGTGCTGTGTATGTGTAACCAGTACAGGTGTTTGACTATTTGAGTCACTGTCTCATTTTCAGGATAATAAAATATTTGTAAATCACTGTGAAACCAACTAGAGCAATGATAAATTTCAGGCACCCGTTCCATCCAAACACCAGGACCCTTATAGCCAAATGGTCTGTTTAATATGCAAGCCCATGCTGTATTGATGCAGTTCAGTCCATCACCGTTCGCTATCACACAGTGATGGATTGAATTGTTAACAAACTCCCAAGACAAATGTCAAAATTGAGCTCTTCTGCAAATAAATGATCTATTGATTTTAAAATCAAAGTAAATTAGTTTTATAAAAATGCAATGTTCATGATTTTTTTTGTTTTTGTTGCATTTTTAAGCAGTGCAGAGAGCCGCGGTATGGCCTGGCCTGCTTGCTGAATGACAGGGAAGCCATGTGCTATATAAATGCATAGTCAAAAAGAGTGTTTTGCTTTTAATCCCCATGGTAGCATGCCTTGTCAACAGTAAATGTTTATATTAGTAGAATAACTACTGTACTAGCTATAATAGTGAAATACTAAACGATTGCTTTCATAGAACCATCTCTGTGTTTGAAGCAACCCAGTGAATTTCATGTACATTTCTTAATGTGGTTTAGAGGTTGGTAGCAGCTGCAGATCTTCTCTGGTGTTTGTTTATAGTAATCATAGTCATCCCAGGATTAAGGTTGTGATAATTTATTGATGTTAAAATCAGATATAGAATATTTTCGTCCCTCAGCACCTTGAGTGGGTTATGTCAAAGATTGCTCCTTGAAGCAGCACACGTGATTTTCAACCTTGAAAGTTTGATTTGTGATTTTACTCTTGTTAAATGTAAAAGTATAAAACTTTTTCATCATTATGGTGCATAAAGATTTTTAATTACTGCATTTTGTTGTTGCTGAGGTGACGTGCCAATGAGTATTACAGCATTAATGTATCATAAATTCCTGTAAATATCCAGAAGTTAAATTTGTCTGTGCTATTGGAAACGCTTGATACTAGTATGTACTGTAGGCTTTCCTGTTACTGCACACTGACACTGATGGAGCAACAACTAGCCATCAGATAGCTGTTTCACAGACACAAAACTGGTTCTAGTCTGAAACTAGTTCTGAACAGAAAACCTCCCTCTAATGGAAATTTACATTCTAAGACATTTCTTAAAAGATTAGGTTTGATCCATGGCTGTGAAAGCAGCCTAAACTGTCTCCATCCCAGCCCTACTCTCAGACTGTGTGTCTACAGACATATGTTTTGGAGTGTGTTCATGTGAGCGTTTGTGTGCGTGTGTGCACGTGCTCACTGGCAGATGCCCAGTAAAGCAGCATGTGACTGTCGATTTGAGAGGTGGGATTAAAAAGTAGATTGTGTTCCTTTGAACAACCTCAAACGTTCTGCAGCCAGTGTGGAGATTGGAGAAGCCTCACTAATTGATCGAGTTTTTCCACTGCACTCCTCTGACTGAGAGAAGCTGCCCGCTGGAGAGATAAGATGCTCTTTATTCTCTTTTTCATCACTCTTTC